AAAAGCCGGGCCCCGGGGCAAAAACGGCCCCTTCCCCCCCCCCCCCCCCCCCCAACGACCCCCCTTGGCGTGGGGTTCCGGGCCCGCTGAAGGGTCCCAAATTGTGTTTTTTTAGAGGACAAACGGTGCCGTTTGGTGCGGTTTCGAACTATGATTCAGTTCGTAAAAATTCTAATTTCAAGGGTGTTTGAGATTTTTGTCAGAAATCGGAGGGGGGGGGGTTCAGGACCCCCCTGAACCCCCTCCCCCTAAATCCGCCACTGAATATGATATAATAATTTATGACAAGAATGATATTTTGGGTTCCGATAAAAACATAACCCATTATTATGGTAACGACGGACATATATATGTGTCAACAATTTAGCTACTGATATTGTTAAATGGACTGACTGTGGCCATAGAAGTAAATATCAATTGAAACAATTTGCAGTTTTTAGTGATGATAAATAAATAGAGAAAGTACAGAAAGAAACGTCTGTGTGAATTAATATTATTTCACTGTGTTAAACAAATGTACTGAAACTCTTACTCTTCCCAGTCGCATTGCAAGTTTTGCTGACAAAGTTAAAGGCAGCGTTCACTTCTTCGTCCTTGGTGATATCAAGCTGCAAGACATGGACGTTGTCAGAGCACACCTCTTTCAATTTCATGGCACCTTGGCTGGATTCAGAGAGACAACCAGCGAACAAGGTGAGACCTCGCACGTCTAGGCGTTTAACTAGTTCGTGGCCTAAACCTGCAACATATATGGCCTGATGTACGGTACATTGTTAAACACAAATTTAACCTTTAATTGACATTGAAATCATTAAATTGGTTATGAACGCGCTTTCATTGTGTACATATATCATATGATCATTGATAGTTTAGCCGCATAAACGTCTGTTAAGATACTTCNATGCAGCATTCATTTTAAAACAAGTTGACCGCCAATTAAGCACGATTTTGCACCTTCAAGTACCGTGTCACGTTTTCATATCATGCATTTATTATTTCTACAAGTTTTCTCTGCCCAAAATGCGTAAAGAAAAAGTGCTATCTTACCATGTTGTTTAGAAAACTTCTTTTTCCTCCGACAACCCGTCTTCTTTGCCGTTCACCTCTATGTTAAAATGACCACTCAGCTTCGTTTCTAACACCACTGCACGTCACTTCCGGCACAATTCTGACCAATGCTGATCTTCTCCGGTTCCCTTTAAAAGCAAGAGACCAGTGAAGTTGGAATGATCTATGTAGAAAGATAGTTTCATTGGGAATGCAGGACCGTGGCCAGCAATTTCAAAAGGGGGGGGGGGGTCTTTTTCTGAAAAAGTGGACCTTTTACCATGAAACCTTCATGTGCCTAGATAATTTTTTACCCAGAGGGGACCTTTTCCCAGCAAAAGGGGGATTCTTTCGAACCCCCCGAACCCCTCTGGCTACGGGCCTGGAATGCACCCTTCCTCATGCTCACATCTACAATAGCTGTTGCTGCACCATAGTGCCCGGGCTCTACGATGACGACATCAACTCCAAATGACGTTATTTCCCGTCGAAGGCAATCCGAGAAGCATTCTGCGGCATACTTGCTGCAACTGTACACAGATTCCAGAGGGTTAACCACCAGACCTTTCACGCTTGTCACGTTCACAATTCTCCCTGAAATTATCAAAAATTCTTTTGGAAAGAAGATCACAATGACCAGGGTTAGTTTGGTCCACAGGGTGCCCTCGACCAGAAGCTTGGTGCGTGATGACGTTATTTCTGAAATTCTGTGTTGAAAATCTCGCCGGAGAGTCTGGGAAGTGTACACTAAATTTGCCAGAGGAATATTCGTAAATGTCTTATGAAAAGTCTTTATGTAGCCCTGGTAGAGGGTTGACTTTCTCTTTCAAAATAATTGCAATCTTTCGGGTCTGTTTCCAACTTGTAGACGCGTCCTACAATGTTCTTTTTTTTTTTCAAATACCCATGTGTCCAGATGTATATGCCATGTACCACACTTAGTTACTTAAATGATCTTGTTCTACCAGGGGAAGTAACAGAAACTGGACAAAAAATTACCACTTACCAGTTTTTTAGATTATTCGCGATGAAGCAGGTAATAAGATTCATTGCTTTTTCTGAGAAAAAATAATCAGATTACGCCATACTAATAATGAATGTGCAAAAAATCACACATGTCTCCATCTGTATATTTTTGAAAAAATATCAAAGGCTGGCATTCACGAGAGAGAGAGAGAGAGAGAGAGAGAGAGAGAAAAGGGGGGTCAGTATTATATATTAAGAAATATGGAAATGCCTTTCTTACCTTTAGACTTTCTTATAAGTGGAAGAAAAGCCTTTGAAATCCGAACCATCCCATAAAGATTGACGGCCATACATGCCTGATAGCTGTCCACGGGTATCATTTCTACCGGACCAAGAGGGTTGACGCCGGCGTTGTTTACCACGGCCCAAAACTCTACACAAATCGGAGAGTTTTCTCGTTTTAGTAATACATATGGGCCATTTGAAAAAAATGGGTAGTTTTTCAAAATTGTTTAAACTATACTTGGGCTGTGTTCAGAATAGAAGTGCACGATAAAAAAACATATTGAAGTGATGTTAATGTGTTTCATTATTCTCTCACAGATTTCAAAAATTAAAAGTTCCCAAGAAGCATAGTCTACATTGACTACATCACAGTATACATAGGCGAAAGTAAATATTACAGAAGTTTCCTCATGGCAGTTAGCCTATTTATTGCTTAGTTCAATGTTTGTATAATTAATCTTACTCTTCACAGTCGCATTACAAGTTTTGCTGACAAAGTTTAAGGCAGCGTTCACTTCGTCGTCCTTGGTGATATCCAACTGCAAGACGTGGACGTTGTCAGAGCACACCTCTTTCAATTTCTTGGCACCTTGGCTGGATTCAGAGAGACAACCAGCAAACACGGTGAGACCTAGCACGTCTAGGCGTTTAGCTAGTTCGTGGCCTAAGCCTGCAACATATATGCCCTGATGAACGGTATATTTTAAAACAAGTTTAACCTTTAAAATAAATTTAACCTTTTTTTAACAAACATATTTTAGTTGTGTAGTGTAAGTGCTTTTATATGTGAATCCGTATGTTTTATCTAGGACACTCTTAAATTTTTTTGTCGTTAAGCTCTGTAATTTTTTATCCATCTATTCCTAATAATTGATTTCCTAAGAAATTATTTCATGTATATGTAAAGTCTTCTGAACATGTTATAATGGATTTTAGTCTAAAAATAAATTTATTATTATTATTTAATTGACATGAAAATCATTACATTCGCTATGAACGTGCTTTGATTGTGTACATGTACAGATATATCATATGCTCATTGATGGTATAGACGCATTTAAACGTCACCGGCAATAAAAAATTCACAAATGTGGAAACCTCTCTGTAATATACCTATAACATGCCTATACATTATTTAAATCGCCGTCAGCACCACTTTGCAGAGCTGCCAATGTATATGAAGTATATACTGCTTGTGTTTTAGTGTATTTCTGCTTCATTATTAAAGATAAACACGACCGCTAAAATGGTCGCAAATGTCCATCAAAGCACTATTTTCTGTAAGATTCAAAATAGGGTAGCATACAGCCCACTCAGATTTTGATGAAAATTGGTGCATTTGTTCATTATACCCCCAACCATCACAATGAATACTTTGTATCCCCCTTTGTTGCCATGGCAACAGCACCTAAACATCTCTACCCTAGAATGGTTCAGACGGTGATCTAGATCCTCCTTCATCACACAACCCTCCTATGTAAATACATATGACGGCACTGATGAGAATTCACACGTGTGCGGTAACCGACCCCCCCCCCCCCCCCCAATACCTTTACCTTGCTATCATGGATCATGGTTTTCCTGACTTTTTTAAAATATACCTGTATCGCATCCCGTTACCAATACAGCCTTATTCCTATAATCTACCCTCCTCGCAGCTCTGTCCTTTTCTCTATTCAACCCGAGTACTCCTAGAAGGAGCACCGCAAAGAAGACAACATTTAGGACTCCGGGTAAAAAGTTCGTGATCAGTAAACCAGACAGGCCTATGACGACAGCGGTACCTTCCTGCCACGGCATAACTGTACAGTTTTAGCACTACCCTTGCAATAAAATGTTTCACTTTTGTTGTGTCGTCTTCTACATTCACATTTCTTCGCAGCGAACTTTAATATGGGGCGTTGGTACAGGATCGTCCAGGCTGCAGATAGACGTCATACGCCCACTACGTTAAAACGCCGGTCTTATCCAAGTGATATGTTAACCTTATAAGAAGCAGCAGTCGGCTTATCCATACAGTTGTCACATTGCCTCTGTGATAATGTGCAATATTTAGGTCATTGTATTTCATCTGTGTTTGCGCTTCCTTATGCTATATTCTATCTTTCAAAGAATTGCCATCTGTTGCATTTACTTAACTCTTCTAAGTTCTTCCATACACAACTTTAAAAGAAAGTTACTGTTATAATTGCGCCTTGACCCGTTTTAATGGTACACGTCACAGTCTTGCATGACCCCTTGCATTCGCCGGTCTGCGCTCTTCGGGTGCCTTTCTAGTTTAAACCCGAGATCTTATTACCATAGCCCCTAATCCTAATGAGGCGAGATGGGGATCTCGATTTTGTCCATCACCAATGATTTCGTACAGCTGAAGACAATGATTTATAAGATGGCTATATACTCTGCACTTTTAATCAAATAAGTCATACAGCAATTTTATAAGATTCTGTCTTTAAAAGGTATGGAATAATCAGAAAAACTCTTTTATTCCACATACTTCTTGTAAAAGTACACATCTGTTATTTCAGATGAAATCACATAATTTGTTTATTNCAAACGTCACTGGCAATTAAAAATTCACAAATATGGAAACATCTCTGCAACATACCTATAACATGCCTATACATTATTTAAATCGCCGTCAGCATCACTATGCAGAGATGCCAATATATATAAATTTTATACAGCCTGTATTTTTGTGTAGTTCTGGTCCTTCATTAAGGATAAAGGCAACCCTTTAAAAGGTTGCAGATGTTCGTCTAAGCACTAGTTTCTGTAAGGTTCAGAATAGCACACGACCTACTCAGATTTTGAAGAAAATGTGTGTATTTGTTCATTATACCCTCAACCAACACACTGCATATTGGTTACAGTGTATCGCCCTTTGTTGCCATGGCAACAACACCCAAAATCTCATTACACAGCCCTCGTATGTAAATACAATATGACGGCTTTGGTGAAAATCCACACGTATTTTGTAACAGCACACCCCCCCCCCCCCCCCACATTTACCTTGCTATCATGGATAGTTTTCTAGAGTTTTCTCACAATATACCTGTATCGCATCCCGTTACCAATACGGCTTTATTTCCATAATCCACCCTCCTCGCAGCTCTGTCCTTTTCTCTATTCAGTCCAAGCACTCCAAGAAGGAGCAACGCAAAGAAGACAACATTAAAGACTCCGGGTAAGAAGTTCGTGATCAGTAAACCAGACAGGCCTATGACGACAGCGGTGCCTTCCTGCCACGGCATAATGGTACAATCTTAGCACTACCCTTGCACTTTTGTTGTGTCGTCTTCTGCGTTCACATTTCTTCGCAGCGAACTTTAATATGGGGCGTTGGTACAGGACCGTCCAGGCTGCAGATAGTCATCCAAGTGATATGTTAACCTTATATAAGAAGCAGCAGTCGGCTTATCCATACAGTTGTCACATTGCCTCTGTGATAATGTGCAATATTTAGGTCATTGTATTTCATCTGTGTTTGCGCTTCCTTATGCTATATTCTATCTTTCAAAGAATTGCCATCTGTTGCATTTACTTAACTCTTCTAAGTTCTTCCATACACAACTTTAAAAGAAAGTTACTGTTATAATTGCGCCTTGACCCGTTTTAATGGTACACATCACAGTCTTGCATGACCCCTTGCATTCGCCGGTCTGCGCTCTTCGGGTGCCTTTCTAGTTTAAACCCGAGATCTTATTACCATAGCCCCTAATCCTAATGAGGCGAGATGGGGATCTCGATTTTGTCCATCACCAATGATTTCGTACAGCTGAAGACAATGATTTATAAGATGGCTATATACTCTGCACTTTTAATCAAATAAGTCATACAGCAATTTTATAAGATTCTGTCTTTAAAAGGTATGGAATAATCAGAAAAACTCTTTTATTCCACATACTTCTTGTAAAAGTACACATCTGTTATTTCAGATGAAATCACATAATTTGTTTATTATAACTTGTCGTTGGCTGACATTCATTCATTCAACTGCAAACTCTTACATACAAAATATTACTGTTAAAAGGTTACATAAACATTACTATTCAATATAACGGTATAATATTATTGTAAATCATTACCAGTATTGCAGTATCTATACATATATATAGTGATAATAGCTTCAAATTTTGCTACATTTATTGAGAAATGAAAAAAAAAAAATCTGGAGCATTGCCTACTCTGACACAACACAAGCTCTGATTGGTCGAAACATCTTTGCAAATTTTCTTCTTGCTATTGAAATCAAAACATTGCAGAAATCTTTATCAATATGCGGAAAAAATCCTTGCTTTATCAATATGTGGAAAAATCCTTGCTTTATCAAATATCTCTTTGGAATGAAAAAAAAGAAACAAATATTTCCCATGATGCATTTCTAAAAGAAAACCACATTGCTTCGTATTAGTCATAACCAAGTAAAAATGCAGCTAAAATGGAAGAAAATCTCTAAGACTTGCACCTGAATAACATTACCTAGATAGACTTACAGGCAGTATACTATAATTTGTAAAATAGTTTGTATTCTGGCTTAACAAATACCTACTTAATTCCAGCTGGTGAAAAACAATGCAGAGCTTGTAACATACTTGAAGACCGACACTCTGCTAGTTACTACAGGTGAACTGGGAGTCATCATGGTTATCATACTCTATAAATATTGAATTTGACTTCAATGACAACATTTGCAGGAAGAAATTGGCCTATAAATGGCAGCATCACAATGTTGGAAGAGTATCTACATGTATAACTAGGACTGAACGCTGGAATAATACAATATTAAAACAAGCTGGTATCTGCATCAAAATGTGAAATAAATCCTGGGGTTTATATTATTTGCATTTGTCAAAATTAAGAACTGACATATCTTTCAATTTTCAAAACACCATGTGTTTGAAATATTTCATTATTTCAAGCTTCATCATTTTAGATAAGGACAAAAAAATCTGACTTGAGCCCACCTCAAAATTAGGAATTTTCTGGTCAAATTCAGTTGCACACAAACTACATTTTGGAGGAACGGTTATTATATATCTAATGTTGGTAAATTACCACAATCTTTTTATCAGCCTGTATCATCTCATTTATCAAAGCCTTTTAATTACATATTTCAACAATGCTTATAATATGCTAGCTAAAAAATGTTGTAAATCACAAATAAAACTTTTAAGTACTCTTTCGATCCAAGTGGATAACATCAGAGTTTGAAGGAATCTGGACTATTTCCTTGGAAGTGTTAATATTATACTACAGGTTCACTGAACAGGCCAAGCTTTCATCCCAACTAGTGTAACTGATGTCATTTGACAGCCCAATCACACTACAGATATACTTTAAATTTGGAAGTCACATTATGAGTTCCTATGTGGTCTGTATAATACAAGTTGTATCATTCCTGAGCTGATCTTGAGAAGACCTGTGGCTACCCAGAATTCTCCTGTTCCGTCTGCCAGTTCCCGATGGTAACCATTTTCCTTTAGGTCTAACATTCTCCCCCTTTTTGAATGTTCTTTTTTTTTTCTGAATGAAATTGGCTCATTTTTATCAAGATATCAGGGTAACCCTACACAGAGCAGTGCAATCCACAAAATAACATTTGGGTCAATGTTAAAGGAACATCAGTCTCTGTTAACTTTACATCGCCACTGAATTCTTTAACACCTGTCTTTTTCCCACTTGGTCCTGTCTTAACCTACTGAATACTCGTGTCACCCTTTCCTGCCTGCAAGATGTGTGACAGTCACAGCAGACACATGGGACTTTGTTTATGTTGTCTGCATATGGATAACATATTCTAAAACAATACAACACTGTTGTATAGCTTTGATGCGTGTGAGCTGTACAGCATATATTTGGTGGATACTTTATATGTGCAAAATACAGCACAAACTGTAGCCGTTTCTTATATGTACATCAACACCACATACACTCTATACACCCTGTATTCAATACAGTATATGATATACGCTATGCACACTGTGTATACAATACATATGGTGGGTGTGGTAATACTGTGCAGCATACAGAACAGAATCCAGACAGCCAGAATTGTATAAACCAGACAGTGTATTGTGAGGAATAAAGTGTGTACTGAATCTCTTATTGTACACTGGTGCACAGTAACTTTGCTGTACAAATTGTCATGAATATAAACACTAGTATGTAATTAAGATAACTGTATATAATATCCTTATTTGGAAGCTTCCTTGGCTGCAGCAATTAAAGGTTTCAGAGTCACCAGTGGTTTGGCTTTCTTTAAAAATGGATGCTCCAAAAGTTCCTCGGTGGAAGCTCTCTTGTCTACATCAACCTCCAAACACCTGTCTAGAAAACTGATAAGTTCTGAGGAGAGTTTAGAGCTATTTTTAATCTCTGGTTTTCCATTGGTTGCTATTAAGTACAATGCCCTAAGTGGAGTCTCGTTCAAATATGGCGGCTCGCCTTCGATCATTTCTATCACCATGATGCCTAGGGACCAAACGTCTACCTTGTTACCATACTGTTTTCTGGAAAGAATTGACAAAAAAATATCAGAATCAATTTTTAATTTTAAATTAAATCAAAATAATATTTCAATATCACAATATTTTTTATAATATAAGTTCCCAAACTTGAAGAAAAAATAAATCTTTTATTTACTAACACTACAATCCACATAATATTAATTTTTTTTTGCCACAGTTACAGATATAAAATATAAATATAAAAATATAATAGTGACATGTTTAAAGTCAAATCAAATAATCCAACTTAAAAAGACTGTCACATGGTTTAAATGTCATTGCCATCTCACCTTGTCACAACTTCGGGAGCCATCCAATATGGCGTCCCCACCATGGTGTTACGTTTATTCTGCTCTGCCGTGATCTGTGCACAGAAGCCAAAATCTGTCAGCTTGACATCTCCATTATCTCCTAACAATACATTGTCACTTTTGATGTCTCTGTGAATAATATTCTTGGAATGAAGAAAAGCAAGAGCCTCGAGGCAAGCCTTGGACACTGCAGCCATTTGACCTTCGTCCATCACCGTTTCCGTGACGACATCTGTAAGGGCCCCTCCTTCTAGGTACTCCATGACTACCCATAATTCTCCCTCCACAAGGAAACAATCAAGGAAGTTGACGATATTGGGGTGCCGCTTGGCCTTCATAACCTAAGAAGTAAGGTAATACCAATTAATATTGCACTATGTCACCTTTCCAGGATGAGTTTTGATAATATTTTGGATATCATTTTTTAATTGTTTGTGAAATCTTTGGAAATCTCAAGTCTCTGGCTGCAGTTATATCATGAAATTATCACAATGTCTCACCTCAATTTCTGTGATGATGAGTTCTTTCTTTGGTTGGTTCTCTAAGTCCATCATCTTAATGGCCACGGCCTCTCCCGTCTCAATGTCCTTGGCCACACATACTGTACCAGACGCCCTGTGTAATGTAAAAATAAATAATTATCAATATAATTAACATTGCATATGGTTTCGTGGAATAATATTAATTTAACTAACATTTTGATGAAAGTAATCACTTGCTCTGAAACAAAAATAGCAGTGACACATTTCTTTTTTATCTTGTTGCAAGCACATCATTAGATTGACAGCCCATTAACCTAAGGAAGAATCGTTAACAGGTCAACCAACACCAAAAGAACTGTGGGCATTCATTGATTGTAACTAAATTATGTTTTAAAGACAGTACTTACAGCAGTATTTTCTTTTTTAGTAATCTTTAAGGTTATACTTTTTTTTACATAAGTTTCCATAAAAGTTTTCTAAATAATTTCAAATCTTAACATATTTCACAGTGTGGGCAGGTACCTTCATTAAAAATATATTCTTTACATAATCTCCACATGTTAATTATTGGTGATCGTAGTTTTAGATCTCATGAATTATGGCAGAGTTATTTTTATATAATGACACATACTACATTTCTATCCATAAAACATAACAGTTTCATCAGCTACCCCATTGTTATACCACTATCAAATGTTATCATGATCCAAATATACTGTCACAAAAGTCATAATCTCAATGTTATCAAACCCACACAGTGACATTATCCCAAATATGCAACATATAACTCTAGAAATCTGCCCAAGGTGGTTAAAATACAAGTTTGGCCAAGGGCTGCAAATTGGAGTAAATTCTGATGTATCAATGTATTTTCCCTGATTTCTTTACTAATCGTAATCTTTACTTCAACTAACACACTGTGTCTACAGATTGTGCTGCCTTGTCTCCTCTACCACAATCACTGCAATAACTTGGCCATTAATCCCTGGAAAACCCCTCGTCAGTCTGCTCTCATTTCTTTTAAAATTTAAATAAATGTTTAAAATATGTATGACCTTATAAAAATCAACTTTTTAAAACCAATTATTACCTGTTGAAAACATTACATAAGTGTTCAATGTGCTCTTATCCCATTTCTTCCTCCTCCTCCCCAAATAATTAAATAAATAAATAAATAAATCAATAAATAAATAAAAACTTATTTTGAAGATCATGAAAACTTACCCTGAGCCAACTTTTTTATCCACCTGGTATCTCTTCTGTGGGTCTACAGAACAGTTTGCAAGTTTCCCTAAAAAATAAACAGGATCAAAATATGAAATCAATGAGAAATGTACATGAAATATACAAATTAGGTTGAAATGACACTGACGTGAAATAAACATGGAGGCATTAATATTGCATATTCATGTGATTTCACAAAGTGAGAAAATAGCATTATGCTGGGTTTACAGGCATACTTAATTTAAGTTATTCAAGCTGTTATGTGACAGCAATGAGAAGATGATAGTAATTATTTGCTCTACTGGACTCAGTGAAATTGCAGTATTAAGCTAATTGGGTCTTTATAATTTAGTGCATATTCAATAAATTATCATTAGAGTAAGGCAGTTTTCTAGTTGTTTCATTGCATTGTTTGACTCATTATTGATTAAAAATAACACAAGTGCTTTCAAAAGCAGAATACACATGGCAAATAAAAGTCTAACTGAGACTTGCTGGGTTAATCAAAACACATAAAAGTATGGAAAAAATATGACAGATCCGACCATCATGCTTTCACAAATCTACAACAACTCCACTTTTTACATTACAACATTTCCCCACCTGTCAACAATAACAACAGCAACATCTAAGACAATACACAGTTAAAATAAAGCACTAAACATACCACATCTGTTCTGATGTTACAACAAACACATACCAGATGAACCAAAAATTTACACTGGCCTTTGAAGGAAGGGGGTAATCACATAAGAATATCTTGGTAAAAAATTTTTTTTTTTCTGTCCTCCAACCCCATATCCCCTATAAACATTTAATATTTTAACCCAAAACCAAATGTTAGACACCAGGGATTGTGGTCAAACAGTTAATTTTACAGGAACCACCCAATTAGTTCTATAATCCATTTAAAGGGCCAATGATACACAACTACTGACATCAACATTGACAACACATACACACACAATAATTTTTTTTTTTCATTGAACTGCCACTCTCTCTTCTTTTTGTATCTTTATGATTATATGGTATTATTATAATATTATAAGCAATAACTTGTATGGTGGAGGGTTTAGCATAAATAGGTAATGAAGAAAGAAAAAAAAAAGAAAAAGAGGGCAACAGCAAAATGCAATATAGGTAGTAACTGTATACTAAAAATAAAATTGAAAAAGTCACACCCAAAACACATCACAATCACCAAACGTATGATGAACCATAACTAGGAGAAACAATCAAATGAATACATGAATAAATCAAAGCTTTCAGCATCTTAAGATCCCAAGTGACTTCATGCACATGCAATATCTTTTAAGTAAATCTAAGATAATCTCACACTGCCATCTGGGTGAACATTGAAAATTTTTAATTTGTACTCCTTAACTGAAACCAAATTTGTTTTTTTTTTAATGCATTACTCTCCTTTTCAATATAACATCGAACAGTTGAACAATTATTGTAGAACCTGGTCACTGATAACCAATGATATTTCAGATTTTAAAGGTTATTCCTGAATGCAAACTCTTAGCCACAGCAATAAGATTTAGACATAAGAAAATGATTTTTTTATCATTATTCACTTATTTCAATATAATAAATGGCTTCTTATCTCAAGAAAACAAATTAATTTGTTAACAATGTCCACCCATAAGGCCGTGTGTAGTAACCAAATCAAGAACACAGGTTTCACCCTGTTAACAGCAACTGAGCAACTAAGTTAACAGCATGTTAACATCCACAAAAAGATATACAACCTAGACCTAGACTTCACTCACTTGATCCTGCATGAAGATAATTATAATACGATATGTTACTCACTAACTCATCAAAGATCTCTTATAACTGTCAATTTATATTCGTGAAGATCAGGCATGACAATATCAGAGATCGNCATAAAAATATAATAGTGACATGTTTAAAGTCAAATCAAATAATCCAACTTTCAAAGACTGTCACATGGTTTTAAATGTCATTGCCATCTCACCTTGTCACAACTTCGGGAGCCATCCAATATGGTGTCCCCACCATGGTGTTACGTTTATTCTGCTCTGCCGTGATCTGTGCACAGAAGCCAAAATCGGTCAGCTTGACATCTCCATTATCTCCTAACAATACATTGTCACTTTTGATGTCTCTGTGAATAATATTCTTAGAATGAAGAAAAGCAAGAGCCTCGAGGCAAGCCTTGGACACTGCAGCCATTTGACCCTCGTCCATCACCGTCTCTGTGACAACATCTGTAAGAGCCCCTCCTTCAAGGTACTCCATGACTACCCATAATTCTCCCTCCACAAGGAAACAATCAAGGAAGTTGACGATATTGGGGTGCCGCTTGGCCTTCATAACCTAAGAAGTAAGGTAATACCAATTAATATTGCACTACGTCACCTTTCCAGGATGAGTTTTGATAATATTTTGGATATCATTTTTTAATTGTTTGTGAAATCTTTGGAAATCTCAAGTCTCTGGCTGCAGTTATATCATGAAATTATCACAATGTCTCACCTCAATTTCTGTGATGATGAGTTCTTTCTTTGGTTGGTTCTCTAAGTCCATCATCTTAATGGCCACGGCCTCTCCCGTCTCAATGTCCTTGGCCACACATACTGTACCAGACGCCCTGTGTAATGTAAAAATAAATAATTATCAATAAAATTAACATTGCATATGGTTTCGTGGAATAATATTAATTTTACTAACATTTTGATGAAAGTAATCACTTGCTCTGAAACAAAAATAGCAGTGACACATTTCTTTTTTATCTTGTTGCAAGCACATCATTAGATTGACAGCCCATTAACCTAAGGAAGAATCGTTAACAGGTCAACCAACACCAAAAGAACTGTGGGCATTCATTGATTGTAACTAAATTATGTTTTAAAGACAGTACTTACAGCAGTATTTTCTTTTTTAGTAATCTTTAAGGTTATACTTTTTTTTACATAAGTTTCCATAAAAGTTTTCTAAATAATTTCAAATCTTAACATATTTCACAGTGTGGGCAGGTACCTTCATTAAAAATATATTCTTTACATAATCTCCACATGTTAATAATTGGTGATCGTAGTTTTAGATCTCATGAATTATGGCAGAGTTATTTTTATATAATGACACATACTACATTTCTATCCATAAAACATAACAGTTTCATCAGCTACCCCATTGTTATACCACTATCAAATGTTATCATGATCCAAATATACTGTCACAAAAGTCATAATCTCAATGTTATCAAACCCACACAGTGACATTATCCCAAATATGCAACATATAACTCTAGAAATCTGCCCAAGGTGGTTAAAATACAAGTTTGGCCAAGGGCTGCAAATTGGAGTAAATTCTGATGTATCAATGTATTTTCCCTGATTTCTTTACTAATCGTAATCTTTACTTCAACTAACACACTGTGTCTACAGATTGTGCTGCCTTGTCTCCTCTACCACAATCACTGCAATAACTTGGCCATTAATCCCTGGAAAACCCCTCGTCAGTCTGCTCTCATTTCTTTTAAAATTTAAATAAATGTTTAAAATATGTATGACCTTATAAAAATCAACTTTTTAAAACCAATTATTACCTGTTGAAAACATTACATAAGTGTTCAATGTGCTCTTATCCCATTTCTTCCTCCTCCTCCCCAAATAATTAAATAAATAAATAAATAAATAAATAAAAACTTATTTTGAAGATCATGAAAACTTACCCTGAGCCAACTTTTTTATCCACCTGGTATCTTTTCTGTGGGTCAACAGAGCAGTTGGCAAGCTTCCCTAAAAAATAAAAACAGGACCAAATGTGAAATCAACGAGAAATGTACATGAAATATACAAATTAGGTCGAAAATGACATTGACTTGAAATAAACATGGAGGCATTAAAATTGCATATTCACGTGATTTCACAAAGTGAGAAAATAGCATTATGCTGGGTTTACAGGCATACTTAATTTAAGTTATTCAAGCTGTTATGTGACAGCAATGAGAAGATAATAGTAATTATTTGCTCTACTGGACTCTGTGAAATTGCAGTATTAAGCTAATTGGGTTTTTATAATTTAGTGCATATTCAGTAAATTATCATTAGAGTAAGGCAGTTCTCTAGTTGTTTCATTGCATTATTGATTAAAAATAACACAAGTGCTTTCAAAAGCAGAATACACATGGCAAATAAAAGTCAAACTGAGACTTGCTGGGTTAATCAAAACACATGAAAGTATGAAAAAAAATATGACATATTCGGCCAGCATGCTTTCACAAATCTACAACAACTCCACTTTTCATATTACAACATTTCCCCACCTGTCAACAATAACAACAGCAACATCTAAGACAATACACAGTTAAAATAAAGCACTAAACATACCACATCTGTTCTGATGTTACAACAAACACATACCAGATGAAACCAAAAATTTACACTGGCCTTTGAAGGAAGGGGGTAATCACATAAGAACATCTTGGTAAAAATAATTTTTTCTGTCCTCCAACCCCATATCCCCTATAAACATTTAATATTTTAACCCCAAACCAAATGTTAGACACCAGGGATTGTGGTCAAACAGTTAATTTTACTGGAACCACCCAATTAGTTCTATAATCCATTTAGAGGGCCAATGATACACAACTACTGACATCAACATTGACAACACATATACACACACACAATAAATATTTTTTTCATTGAACTGCCACTCTCTCTTCTTTTTGTATCTTTGTGATTATACAGTATTATTATAATATTATAAGCAATAACTTGTACAGTGGAGGGTTTAGCATAAATAGGTAATTTTTTGTAATAAAGAAAGAAAAAGAAGAGGGCAACAGCAAAATGCAACAGATAGTAACTATATACTAAAAATAAAATTCACACCCAAAACACAACACAATCTCCAAACGTATGATGAACCAATTATTCATATAAAATAACTAGGAGAAACAATCAAATAAATATATGAATAAATCAAAGCTTTCAGCATCTTAAGATCCCAAGTGACTTCATGCACATGCAATTTCTTTTAAGTAAATCTAAGATAATCTCACACTGCCATCTGGGTGAACATTGAAAATTTTAAATTTGTACTCCTTAACTGAAACCAAATTTGTTTTTTTTTTTAATGCATTACTCTCCTTTTTCAATATAACATTGAACAGTTGAACAATTATTGAACAATTATTGTAGAACCTGGTCACTGATAACCAATGATATTTCAGATTTTAAAGGTTATTCCTGAATGCAAACTCTTAGCCACAGCAATAAAATGTAGACATAAGAAAATGAGAAAATGATTTTTTTTATCATTATTCACTTATTTCAATATAACAAATGTCTTCTTATCTCAAGAAAACAAATTCATTTGTTAACAATGTCCACCCCTAAGGCCGTGCGTAGTCACCAAATCAAGAACACAGGTTTCACCCTGTTAACAGCAACTGAGCAACTAAGTTAACAGCATGTTAACATCCACAAAAAGATATACAACCTAGACCTAGACTTCACTCACTTGATCCTGCATGAAGATAATTATAATACGATCTGTTACTCACTAACTCATCAAAGATCTCTTATAGTGTCAATTTATATTCGTGAAGATCAGGCATGACAATATCAGAGATCTAAGATGAGTTGTTACTCACTATCTCATCAAAGATCTCTCATGGTGTCAGTTTATATTGGCAATGCTTAGAAATGACAAAAAAAAAAAAAAAAAAATTGGCAGTATTGTCTGGACAGCTGGATTGACTAAGTTTAAAACAATGACAGTCCAGATAAGCAATTGTCGAACTTTTAGACTCCACATCTCCAACGTCTGAGGTCTAGAAAATAACTTCCTAGTTACGCAAAGATTTGTGTATGGCAGACGCCATAAATATTGGCTAATACCAAACTAAAAAAATCTGTTCCACAAGATTTGGTTGAGATAAATGATAATTCAAACTATAAAATGACAAATTATGTGGAGTCTACAGTAAAACAAATGGCTTGTTGCAAATGATCAGATTTACAATCCATCAGCAGTACAAACTGAATCCCCAGGCAAATCTTTCCAGTCCTGTTCTTACATATCAGAGGAAGACAATTATCTGATAATGTGCACATTTGCCCAACTTAATTAGACAAGCAATAATACTGTAACACCTGCCATCACAAGGACTGGTTGTGAACAAGAAACTGCTATGTAATACAGTTTGCTTCACCATATTTGTTTCATAATGTGTAGTATACACAATTTAAAATGAGCCTATATCTATGGAGAACTTATAACCTCTTATTTTTAAAAGCACAAATGTTTTTTTTTCCTCATACTTACTTAGTGCATCCATGATCTCGGCATCAGTCATCTTTTTCTTCTGTTTCACCGACTTCTTCTTTTCTCGCTTTTGGGGAACAGGTTTTTCAACCTCTTTGGTCTTTTCTGTTTCTCCATCTTCTAATTTAGCATCTTCTAGGTTCTGGTTGACTTGGTCTATGTCCTTAAGAAACAATTCAGTACATCAGTGGTCAAATCTAACAAGTCAATACTAGTAGCTACTTTTATCAAACAAATTTTGAATTACCAGCAATGATCCATTACCATATTGATAACATGTAAAAACATTTGAAAGATTCTGTTTTTACATGAGTCACTTCATTTAATCAAGTATTTGAATGAAATTAAAATTAGTTTTCTTCTATTGCACTACAACTTTATTTTCATCTACTAATCTATTACTATACCATTCTGGCACTATTCTTTTCTACATTTCTAATACTTTTCTTATATTTGAGAGAAAATATCTACTTCTTTGTTCTTCTTTTTATCTGGCAATGCTGGGGCAGGCTCTTCTTGTGCCTGTTTCTTAGCTATCACTGTGTTCACATATAACTCTTCATCGTCCTCCTCTAGAGGAGGCTCTGCAGGGGGTAATGAAGGCTTTTCATTTTCCTACAAAAAAAAATAAAAAAAGGAATCAACACAATAGCTACTGCATGTAAGGTAATTCTGTATGAGGCAACACTGTGAATTCAACTTAAATCAAGATGAAAGTAAAAATCAGATACTATGATTAACTGGATTTCTTTTTCATATATGAAGTGTCTCATTCAAAATCATTTGCCTCTGGTTGTCTCTGGCTCTTCAAATAAATGAACACAGCTGTAATCTTCCTCAAAGTGATTTAGTCAAATTTCATTTAATACTAGTAATGCATAATTTTAAATCCAATTTTGATTGGGGATCTGTTAGTCCATGGATCATCTTGTTCTGAATGTGACCTATAAGTCCCACCTGTCCTTCGTCACTGCCAGAGGCTGATGTCCTTGGTGTCCTGGATTCATTGGAAGATCTCTCATCGAGCTCCTCTTGTGAATCTGCCCTCTCCAACTCAATGAATTTCTGCTGATCTTCAAAAGGCCTCCGCACTGACTCATTGTAGAATTCCAAAGCTTTCACCACAGCATCTGGATTCTGTTTCTGTTCTTCTTTGCTGCAGTAAAGTATATGTCATGATTACATCATTCATTTTATCTTATTTTACTGTTTGAATCATCTCAGGTAGAAAGAATTTTTGAAGTGTTACATACAACTATATTTGCTGAGAAGATGAAAGAGGAAAGAAATATTTGAAACATATTATCAATATCTAAATATAGTATTCATTTTTAGTGTACATTTTCCTATCCCAATTAGTTTAATCTCTCTTTTTCTTTTTCTATCTTCCTTTTTTGCGGTTTCAATTTTGACACAAATATTCTATTACCTGATTTTTGAGTGCTGAAGCCATTGGTCCCAGGCAGGCGGTAATCCCTCAAAGCTGCCCTTGTCCTGATTAAACCCCACGTGGAAGTTGTGTTTAAACTCAAACGGCGCAGATATCTCACTGATAGTGGACTCTGGTGGAGAAATATCCGATTTCTTCTTCCTCTTGAAAAAATTTTTGATCTGGCTCATTTTGGCCTTGGGACTGAAAAAGGAAACTTTCATCGTCAGAAATTTTTCCTCGATCGCTAAATGAGTGAACAAAGAGAAATCAAGTTGTGGAGAATCGAGGTCCAAGTCAATCAAAATCTGGCAGAGCAGATGTCTCTTTGGATAAAGAGAGAATATATCCAATCACTAGTTGATCTCAACAACAGTTACTGTAATTCACGAGTTCAGCACCTTAACAATCATCAAACCATCTATAGATAGAATCTATAAGTGGGGGGAAAAAGGGCTCAAGTCAAACAGAAAACAGATAAGAACCCAGACAGAAGAGAGAGATACAATAAATCCAACTGTGTTATCTGTGATACCAAATTTAACAATTGTGAAGAAGTCCTTAAGGATGTCCATATAGTTCCTCCTCAATAATCAGTATTAACCAAGAGAGTCTCTGTCCAATCAATGGAAACCACACAAGAAATATGTGGCAACAGTATAAGAGTTCATCAATATATCAACTGGAATCATCAGAGATAATGGGAGCACTTGCTTCATAAATAAAACTTCACAGCTAAAAGACAATGTCAATATGTCGAAAATGCAGTTAAACTATTACTACTGCTACACTGGAACCAACTAACAACTGTCCAACAATATCGGTCAACATATCTTTACTCTCTCTCCACCCTATATTGAAATGCTAGGTAGCCAACTATCTCTATTTTATTACCTAGACCTATGTGTTATTCATCTGCAGGTAGAGTCATGCTTTTCCACATGAGTCACAGTTCTGAGGTGGTGTTTCTCCGTCTTGCTATGAATGCCACAATATGTCAGCTACCCTCCTACGTTGAGCTTTAGTAAAAAAGCCTGAGGCACCTGTTGTTTATGTGCATCAATTTCTTACTCAAGGCACCTGAGTGTGCTTGACACCTTTTAATTATATTGGATCTGACAGACCTACTGATGATGATGAAGATTTAATTGCCAGGTAATCTTTCTTCACAGCACTGAGTACAGTTCTCAGTAGGCTCATCCCCAATGAAACTATCATGCTTCATACTTTGATCCAACTCTGCAGGGACTCTTGCTGAATGCAATCAGTTAAACAAAATCCTGTTTCCAACATACTAGTACTTGTATAATCATCAGCGTTTGCGTATTCTACTCAACAGCAGTAGGAAGCATACCAAGCTGTTGCGTTGACTGCATTCAGCAAGAGTCCCCACAGAGTTGGATCAATCTGTGTAGAACGATAGTGTCATTGGTAATGTGCCCTATGATTCAACAAGGTCATTGTCATAAAACATGGGTTGTCTCCAGACAGTATTTTTGACTGCCAAGGCTTCTGTACATCTGCCAAAGCTTACAATTACACATTTTACCACATATCTGATAATAACACAATCTTTTTACAGGCTAAACCACTCTATTATTCTTGATAAAAAAAAATCCAGTTATTATGCTTTAAAACAACTGCATGCCATACAATATAAATTTACCAATGTTTCCCATAAAAGTCACTTCCTCCATGATATTTGCACACTAATTACATGCAAACTACATTAGTCATGTTATGATACCAGTCAATACCAGGGATCAGAGTTAAATGACAAGGCTGGCAAATTACTTGATTTTATCGCACCTATCTGCAGGTAATGTAAGGGTTCATTTACAGTGAAACTATTGGTCAATCCAACTCTGCAGGGACTCTTGCTGAATATAATCAGATTAATAGAGAGAAGGCATGTTTAACTGGTTGCATTTAGCGAGAGTCCCACAGTTTGACTGATCTACCTAGGCCAATAGTTTCATTGAAAATGGGCCATGATATTCAGTTTATCAGCAACAGTTTGCTTGTAGTAGCTAGTCTTACTACTACTTATGTTCTGTATCATTGCACAAAACCCTTCATTTCAAACGGAAACCCGTGCCAGAGGCTACTGCAGCCTTTAGTGAGCTATGTATAGAAAGTCTGATGCCCCTCTACAAAACAGTAATCACCTAAACCCAAAAACCCTGTGCCACTTTAAACCCTGTGCCTCCCCCTTCTACCATAAACCCCATAGCCATTAATGCCTTCAACTTCAATCCCCTTCATGTGTCTCTCTCTTCCCGAAGCTCCCTTAATGCCTCATCCCACTTTAACCCCCCTCCCCCCACACACTCTTCTTTTATGCCTTCTCCCCTTTCCCTGATATCCCTCTCTCATAAAAAGCAGATAATTTAATGGGTGACTGACTTCAACACCCCCTCACCACCTGATCGCCGTAATCAGAAGACAACATTGATTTTCTTTCCTTCAGAATATATGAGCAGACAATTTACTGGTGACTGCACGGATGTGTGTATTAGTCATTCTTGGCATTTGACGGTTCCTAGCAAATACCCAAGGCTAAGATCTTGAGTTGGACTGATTGATTCCGTGATATAAATAATATAATACAGCTTTCTGGAGCACAGGAATCAATCCTGTAATATACTAGTACAGACATATGATATTACCATGAAATGACTTTACTTGACTCATGCAATCATCATTAGTATGTCCATTAAAGACTGTCCAATTTCATTCTGCATTATCCATTGATCTGTTTATCTATTCACTTATTTCATTATCTTTCCATCTATAATCTTTTTATTAATTTATCTATTTATAATTGTTTATTTATATTTTATTCATTTATCCAAGTGGAAGTATTTATTTCAGTTTCATCTATCTTCTATATCTGCTGACCGTAATAATGCTTCTCTTTTTTTTTTTTTTTTTGCTGATTTGCGTGACAGCCATCTTAAAATACCAGCTGTAAAAAATCTTACTAAGTAATGGGATGGGATTGAAACATAATTCCTGAGTAAACCCTGAAGAGCATTCTTGTATAAATACTGCACTATAACTGAAGACATGCTCAAATCGATCCTTCCAGTCACATTCAAGTATTGCCAGATCGTCTGCCATCGTCTGCCAGATTTGCATTGATCAGATGTCGTAATTACTCTGAAATTTCACACAGCTCTGTCACTCGCACAATTCATTTTCCTTCTTAAGATTAATCTTTTTTCACTACCCACAAACACATCCTTTCTGACAACAACCCTTCTAAAGTTTTTAATCATCTCTTCCAGATTTTTCGTACAAGATATTGCTTTGGAGGTTAAAATTGATCAATTTTGTTTAAATTTAGCGAACATTTACCAGTACCATAATGCAATAACTATAACACATTAGCACCTACATTAATTGATTCCCAAAAGCCATAACCTGTTATATAATCTAACTTGTTTTCTGCTAGATAATACCACTTACATGTGTGGGTTAAGTTTGCTCATGCCTTTTAAGTACCTGGTAATTAAGCTGATAATAATTGATCCCTTTCACTGTTTATTTAATCTTCTGACTTGTTGACAAAGTGTATTGAGTTATGTAGAACATGGCTTTTACTGACACAAAAATATACAAATGATTTTCTTTCTTAAGAGTGAATGTAAAATATTGAATGCCTCTGTGCTGTTTCGCTAATAAGCTGATTTAACAAATAGTTCAAGTGCTAAAATTGTATTAAAAAAAGAGACTGAGATAAGAGATTACAGAAAAGAGTGATACAATTTTCTGGCTCATTCTCCAAAGAAAAGCTCTGAGCATGATTATACTTCTCCCTCCCCCCCCCCCCAAAAAAAAAAAAAAAGACATGTCTAAAATTAATTTTACAGTTCAATTAAGGGGGGAAAAGGGGAGTGATAGAGGGGGGAACTTTATGAGTCATGCACATATTACTGCAACATTGGACTCAAAAAACATAATATATCTTAAAATTACAATATATGATGGAAGTATTGATCCAGGCATTTACTGAGGATTCTCAGTTGCAAGTAAATTGCTTTGTGTATAAATTTATGATTTCTATGTGAAGACAGTTTTAAAAAGATTTTGCTGATGTGGATATAGCTACTGTTGCAACAGAGACTTCATCCCCCCCCCCCCCCCAGTCCCCCCC